TCCTCGCATGGGTCAAAGTTTTAATTGTGCGGGACTGTCGCGGCCTTAGTATTTGCTTAATAAAATTTGTTTGTGTTAATGGACAGGTACTTGCCGCAAATGGGTTTATTTATTTGTAATATTCGCAATGTTTATTGTTTAACCAAACGTTCCCTATTATTGTAGATACGATCGTTTTAACTTCCTTTTACTTACCTGGCTTTTCCTCCACATTTTTGTATAACTATGCGGACATAGTGTTATTATTGCCGCATAGTTAAACAAAATGTGGAAGAAAACCGGGAAAGTAGTAGTATAAGACTAAATAAAAATAATTCTAGGACATGATAGATTTATATAGCATAATATATTGTCCTGAATGTCCGCTTATTTTTGGGCCTAAGAATAATACGTAAATTCCTAAATGGTTTTTCATTTTTTCTTTCCTTCCACTGCTGTTTTACCATAAAAATGTCATAATATATTTCAAACGCCACCATGGTGCCAATATTTTAATTTAGTTGCATATTTAAGGCAAACATGACATTCTTTCGCAATTTTAAAATTTTAAAATATTCACAGTCAATTAATAAAAGAATTATTTATCCTTTACTGATCATAGTGCGAACACAGATTAAATAGTAGTACCTCGCTGCGAATGTAAAAATGTCTTTCGTGTATTCGTTATTTTTATTAAATTTATTTATAAAATGGAAGGCGTAGTTCGCCTTAAGTGTATAAATCCTTCAAAAAGTTGGCGAAAATAAGCATCGTTTATTTGTAAGTGATCGTCGCGTTGAACAACCGTATCGCTGTTATTATGCACGATGCGGGAGATAAGTGATCACGGTCCGCTGCGAGTTGGCAGGAAAATATGACCGATTTCATTGTTCCCTCTCGCTATTCGGGCCTGAGAATCACTTGCGGCCATCAACAACGCGGATGCCACAATTAACGAGCCTTGTCGATGTGATGGAAAATAGGAGCGGATGAATTAGCTGTCAGCTATTGAGAGATAAAAGTAAGAAGGCGCTTAACACGCTCCGTGGGGGTAAAACAATTGAATATCCGTATCGAACTTTGCATCTGTGTGGTTTTTGCCTGACAGAAAAAAGTGCGGTTTGTAGGCACAATAGAACGCTGAAGTTATTTTTCATCATTGCCTAAAAAACATAACAGACTTTCCGTTTATGATTATTTTCTATTCATATACATAAGCGGAGGAGCTGGTTCGTTTTATTCAGTTTAGTGCTCTTCTTGTTTTAATTCTATTTAAATGTTATTGCACGCCTCATAACGCGAAGCATTATTAGGGAGTGCATTACTTTCGACACGTCAAGGTCAAACAATTTTGTGGTCTTAAAATGCCTCTAGCATAACCATGACTCATATACGATAATATGAGTAGCTGTATGTTAAGAAAACACTAAATTAATCCATCTCATATTATCTAAAAAATCATTTTATAATTCTTCTTTGAAAAAAAACTGTTTACGTGGACGTCCGGATGTTGATTTTGTATGCGGTCACGATAACTCCCTAAAAATTTTTTTTATTAGAGATTGAGTTTTTTTATTAGCTTCGGAATTACATCGACTGGTTCTATATTTCATATCAGTAGCCTAGTAGGAGTCGTTTGTTAATAAAATTATTTTCAAATTTTATGAGTTTTATTGCTATTAAAAATTTAAATGCGCTTTTATTTTTTTCTTTAGCCCTTGATAGACAAAGGACAAGTGTACCATACTGTATAGTGCATTTGTCCTTTGTCTGCCATGAAAATAATGAAAGCGCCTTTAAACATACAGCCTATATCGATTTTATGCTCTGTGTAATTGATTTGTTTTGGTAAACATTTTATTTTTTTCCCTGTAGGTGACACTACCTGCAAAAATAATAGAGAACTAAATTTAAAACACGTAAATAATATATTTTAAAGGTCAGGAATGCAATTTATCTTTTATATCAAAATTAAATGAAACGCTCATGAGGCGTGCACTTTTGGATTTTCCAAACTATTTTCATTACTGTTTGTATGAATACATTTGTTTTATAATAATACACCTTAATAAGTTTACGTTTAAGTCATAGTGTTGTGGTCCAACAAAAAAAATTATTTTGAAAAGAAATTAACTTTCTTTTGGCGGCTAAAATTAGATCATATACAATTATTTTTAGCAACTATGTTTTTAAATGTGACGGAAATCAAGTCAGAATAAATTAGTGTAAGGTAGCAATTTAGGTGAAGTGCCGAATTCCTTGTCACTTAAGTAATTTAATGTCTACGTTGATGTCCTCCTTTATAAGCTTATAGTCTACTTCGAGGGATTGGCGTGTGTATGTCAATCGCTTATATAAAACGAAATTATACATGTACGAGTATACATATTGCTTACAGGAGTCACTATTACATTTCCATTTAATTTTTTCACTTCCTTAATTTCTAAGAACACTATTCAAGACTTCATCATAGCAACTTGATTACGTATAATTTAAGCTTGAACATTTTCATCAAACTAGTATAATAAATAAACGTTTAATTAATATTACCATTTGTCTCTTTTTATATTCTGATAAAACCTTTAGATATTATTTTACTTGTTACTTGATACTATTCTCTGTCATTGATAGGAAGATCCCAGTTTTCTCTAAAATAAAGCAATGAATACAATACTAATTATTTGACATCTACAATCAAAACAAATATCGACCCGCATTCAGTAAGAGGCATATAGAATATGATGCGTATCGATCGCCACTAACGTCCAGTGCGAACCTGACGCGGCCGGCGTCCCGGAGCGCTCGCCGGAGCCCTACGGCGACGGAGTGGCGACCGTCTCGGTGCCTGGGTCCATTCCGTAGAAGTCACTTGATTCCTCGTAAATTTTAAATTTAACTAACAAACTTTCATTCGTTTAAAATTGGTCAACAATTATTACGAATTACTTTGAATGCTTTATATTAATTAGAAGTTTTTTTATGTAATTCATAAACACGATGATTAGATACGACATACAAACAGCACTTGACGGTATTAACATACTTGGAATAAATTCCTGGTTCTTGTCGTGAAGTAGTGAAGCGAACACAGCGCTGGTATTAGGCTGCGCTCAACTATTCACACCACCACATCTCCACTGACATTTCTGTAACCTAGATGCCAATTTTGACTAAAACAATGAATCCAGAGCAAATACGTAGTTAAGCTTGAGAAATCAGCTAATAGTGTTAGGGAGAAATGTTTAACAAGTGAATTCATTTTATTCCTTCACTGTATACTCCGATTTTTTTTAACAATCCAGAGTTGAACTTTAAACACACAGATCCGTGTTTTGTATGTGTAATTTTTCTAATTTCTCTAATTTTAAGGTGTACTCGAATTATCAAAGCAGGCGGTGCTTATACTCGTATTTCGGGATAAACATGATTTTTATTCATGATATACTTTTAATGATAGAACCTTACCTAACCAATACACAAAAATTCAGAAGAGTAATTGGCTTTCTCGTATTCGGACGTCGTTGTGATGGAAACTGGCCTGAAGAACACTGTAACACACTAGTAAATATTATTTTAATTACCAGTTTACTATATGCTCGACGGTGAAGTAAAAAATTGCGAGTAAACCTAAGAAATAATAAGCAGGATATGGGACGTTCATCAACACGAATTGGAGCAGCTCGGTATACTCTTTCTCTTTCAGAAAATAGGGGGCACATTATGTATATATATTTTGTCCAGCAGTGCAACGTATATGGGCTATTACTTTATCTTTTACATTAAAGATTAACAAGAAATCTTAGTTAACATAGCGTTTAATTTTTTAGTTTATTATTATATTTTCGATGTAGCAAGCAGCAGGTGAATTTTATCTCCTCTGGTTATTACATAGAAGGTATAGATATCATAATATAGTATTCTCCTCCAACTTGTTCGCATGACAAGAATGAAGGAATTAAAGTTCATGTTGTAAGCTCTTTCCTTAAATGTACTTTTATAATTGTTTCTTTTAACGTATGCAGCTGTTGAAAGCAACCGTTGCCTGTTTTGTTGAATTCCTATTTTTATTGCATTGAATGTTTTACATGAATGTCAGCGCCTCAGTTGCGTGTCTAGTTGTTGTCATAATCTGAACCATTTACCTCCACATTTTGGGCTTGTTTAAACAGCGGCGAGCTACAGTCGACGACTATTTCGTTCGGTGAAACAAATTCAATTTTACAACATGCTTTATTGAGTAACACTTTATTTACAATTAAAGGTCGATTGTCTTTCCCGCGGAACCAAAAAAGTGGCTACGTACAAACTTAATCTTATTATTAAATCAAACACATCACATTAAGGATGTTATCTTGTCAATATCGAAGTCCCTAACAGTGAGGCCAATAGTGTAGACATAAATATGTAACGACAGGTGGTAAAGTGGTCATGCTGCGCAGCGCACGCCCAGTCCTCCGTCGACAAAGACAGCAAATACGCGGGGGCATTATTCTAAAGTGAACTGTATTTTGCCTGAGTTAAGGCTTTTAATTAACTTCGTCTTTTTAAGTATCTTAAAACTTTCCCGCCGTGACTTTAATCGCAGCGCAAGCCTGAAGACGGGAGAATTCGAATTTATTGACCATTAATTCAAAATATTATTTTCACAATATAAGTACTCATTTATTAATTTTGAAATATTAGGTTCCGATTAATTTATATGTGTCTTTATGATATTTATTATGTATGTAAATATTGTCTGTAGTTATTGTCCCAATCTTTTGTTTTCATACGTTAGGTGCGCTGATGTTTTTTTATTTAATAAATTGTTCGCTATGATAATGCGCGAGACCAATGTCCAAAAATGACAATTAATTAAAATAAAGAAGAATTTGCGGCTGTATTTACTCACTTTAATTTTCATGCGATGAAACCTACAATCCAGTGCTGCAGCAAAATTGCACATGTAATAATCATTATCTACTTTAATTATAACCCTTATTATAAATTCATTTTTTCTTACCTCTTTGTTTTGTTCGCAGAGCGTCGATGAAGAGGATAGAGTATCTGTAAGTAGAAACCCGATATTTTCTTTAAGTGGATTAATTCAGTCAATTTAGTCATGACTAAGCGGTTTTTAAATATTACAGTTGGATCATAAAGGCGAAACGGATCCCTTAGACTCAAAACAGAAACAATGGATTCTATGCGCAGCCAGGGGCGAATACCATTCTCTCGCGAAAATGTGCAAAGAGAACCCGAAACTTGTAAGGACTAAGGTACTGTAACTGCATTTATGTATTTTTCAAATAGGTTTAAAACGTCTACTTTAATGGTAATCTGTGTAAAAATTATAATATAATCATTGAGATCGATTCAGTCTTTTTCGATAAATCATCATCAAGTTACATACGATTGTGTGACATATCTTGAGTAACAGTGTCCTCCAGATCGATTTTCAGTCACGGCAGCCAGCCACGAGGGAGACAAGCCGTCTGCACAAGACAGGATTATAGTGCACGCGTGTAAGTGCATGTCAAGTGCACTCTCCATTTCATCTACTACTCACTTTCATCTAATCCGATAGGACAGCAATTCGTCATGACCGGAAAGAGATCAGCCGGGCTGTTCACAATCGTCTCGGAAAGCGAAATCGACTCGGATTCGATAACTTCTCGCACCGAAACCAATAAACGCTATTCACATTTAACGTTCGGATAAAGGTCACTTAGATACATCCCATAACTATTGTATCGTCATTTAGTTACATGCATTTACGAATTTTGTAGATTTAGATAGATCCGAGTCGATTTCGCTTTCCGAGACGATTGTGAATAGCCCGGCAGGTCTTTGGTGTAGGGTAAGGGTTGATCGAATTAACATTAATTAAGCAGTCGCGGAATGTTGAGTCTTAATCTCTTGGCTAACAATAACCAGAATAAAATCCTTATAATCTAGTACTAGGTTACTTCTTGTAATATCTCATTCACCATTCATCACTTTTTGCTTCACTTTACGCTTTCTTGTCAAGTCAATGTATATTATTGATATACTCGTAAGATGGTGATCCAACCAAAAATTCTCATTAATTATTTAAACGTTCTTGAGATACGAAAGAATTTTTATGTAATGCGGAGTGAACGCGATCTGTCTAAAACATTACCCAATCTAATCACACTTAGGATTAAATTTCTTGATACTGTGTATACCGGCCATATAGCTCGAAGCATAGCAGAGGCGACAGTGGGAAACCGGGAGGCGATGGGCAGCAGCATCTTCCTCTTGATAACAGCAATATTACAATAAAAAAACTGCGGTTACCAACCCGCTCGCCAACCGTAGACTATGGCAAATATCCTCCAAGATAAAAGTTACGAAGCGACGGCACCCAGTCCCCGGCGGCCCCGCTATTCCTGTCTACGGTGGCGACCATGGTAAAGGCGGGGCAGGGGGTGCTAAGAATCTCTGGAGGTTCGGTTGCCACCTAAGACTGAGCCGTCTTCTCAACCTGGCAATATTCAACACACGCACCCTGAGGACTGACGAGAAGATCCTGGAGCTGGAAAAAGAGATAGACAAGTTACGCTGGCATATTATAGGGTTATCTGAGGTCCGAAGAGAGGGGGAGGACACGGTAATCCTCGAATCCGGCAACTTGTTCTATCACCGGGAGGGCGACCATCTGTCCCAAGGAGGTGTCCGATTTATCGTCCACAAGTCTCTCGTTAACAATGTTGTAAAGATTTTTTTTTATAGAAGCGGGGGCAAACGACCATTCGGCTCACGTGATGGTTAGTGACTACCGCCGCCCATGAACAACCGCAACAACAGCGGAATTGCAGATGCGTTGCCGGCCTTTTAGAAAGATGTAAGCTCTTTTCTTGAAGGTCCCTAAGTCGTATCGATCCGGAAAAATTGATTGTGAGGGTTGCGTACCTTACACTCAGAATCAGCAAACGGTATTTGTTGAAGGTCATACAGGTTTACGCACCAACCTCGGCACATCCCGATGAAGAGGTGGAGGAAATGTATGAAGATATTTAGAGATATGTACTGATATATAGCTTTAGAGCCATGCATTCCTCCAAAAATCAACTATACGGTGTTAATGGGAGACTTCAATGCAAAACTGGGCACAAGAGAGAACGGTGAGCTGAAGGTAAGGAAATTTGGAATAGCTCAACCGAACCCAAGGGGCCAGCATCTGGCCGACTTCATGGAGAAAGAGGGACTCTTTATGACGAGCTCTTTCTTCCAGAAGCGGCCCCACAGGAAGTGGACTTGGTCGAGCCCCGACGGTTCGACAAAAATGAGATTGACTTCACTATGACGACCAGACGATAACTGTTCAGTGATGTCTTAGTGATCGCGAGGTTGAAAACTGGTAGCGATCACCGAATGGTTAGAGGCACACTGAACCTAAACGTTAAGTTGGAGAGCTGTCGTCTAATGAAGACAACGCTCCGTCCCCCTCGTGCTCTAATCCAAAGTCCTGAAATCTTTTAGCTCGAGTTACAAAACAGTTTTTAGTGCCCAGAAGATATGAATGATAAGCTCGTGGAAACTGTCCATGCGGTCGGAGCTAAGTTCTGTAAGACCTGCCGCAGAGCAACACAAAAACGCTCCGATCACACTCTTAATCTCATGGCTGTTAGACGGGAAATTACAGTAATACAGCTTGTATTGAAGAAGCGATCGAGCGGTACCAAGGCTCCAAAGTCTTTGCTAGAGATCTGTCTGCCAGAAAAAGCAGTTAAAGCTAATGACAAGACACCAGAGATTTTGAGTGAGATTGAGAGGTTCTTTGGGCAGCTGTACACGTCATCATTGGAGCCACACGCAAGTGTGAGTAACGATCGAAGAGCGAGTCTTATCTGACACTGTTCCGATGATATCCCAGACGTCAGCCTGAGCGAGGTTAGAATGGCTCTCCAGCACCTTAAAACCGGCCCTAGGTGAGGATGGAATTACAGCGGAGCTTCTGAAAGCGGGTGGAAAACCGGTACTTGAAGTCCTTCAGAAGCTCTTTAATTCCGTCAGCAGTGGTGGTACTACCCCGAAGGCGTGGAGCAGAAGTGCGGTGGTCTTGTTCTTCAAGAAAGGTGATAACGCTCTTTTGAATAACTGCAAACCGATTTCCCTTCTGAGCCGCGTCTACGTGCTGTTTTCAAGAGACATCACGAATCGTCTCGCACGCAGACTCGACGACTTCGAGCCTCCCGAACATATCGGTTTACTTAGAGGCTTTAGTACCATAGACCACATACACACCCTTCGGCAAATTGTACAGAAGACAGAGGAGTAGAATCTGCGACTTTGCCTTGCGTATGTGGACTATGAGAAAGCCTTTAATTCCGTCAAAATGTGGGCGGTGCTACAGTCCCTTCAGCGGTGCCAAGTTAACTGTCGGTAACGAAGTGCTGAAGTGTTTGTACAGTAGGGCTACGATGGCTATCCGAGTACAGAAGCAGCGTACGAAACCTATCCAAATGCAGAGAGGTGTAAAACAGTGTGACGTAATATCCCCGAAACTTCACTGCTGCTCCTGGGAAAATAGTCTGACTAGATAATTTTAACTTTGACCGAGAGGTCAATCGACGGATTCAACTCGGCTGGGCATCCTTCGGAAATTTCGACACATCTTCTCGTCAGGTATAACCTCAAAACTTGAAAACGAGATTGTGCAACCAGTGCGTGTTGTCAGTGATGACTTATGGAACTGAGACGTGGTCCTTCACTGCTGGCCGTATAAGGACGCTCACGGTCGCTCAGCGAGCTATGGAGAGGACTATGCTCGGCGTTTCTCTGCGTGATAAATTTAGAAATGATGATATCCGTAGTAGAACCAGAATAATTGACATAGCCCAACGGATTAGTAAACTGAAGTGGCAATTGGCCAGCCATATAGCTCGAAGAACCGTCAATCGATGGGGATAAAAGGTTCTCGAGTAGCAGCCTCCTACCGGTAGGCGAAGTGTAGGGCGACCCCCAACTAGATTGAGTGACGAACTGGTAAGACATGCAGGAAGTCGATGGATGCAGGTAATTCAGGACCGTGCTTTGTGGCATTTCTTCGGGGAGGTCTATATTCACCAGTGGACTTGTGAAGGGCTGTAATGATGATGCTGATAGCTCGAAAAACCGACAACCGATGGAGAAGAAAGGTTCTCAAGTAAGCCTCGTACCGGTAAGCGAAGTGTAGGGCAACCCCCCACTAGAAGGAGTGATGACCTGATAAGACATGCAGGAAAGCGATGGATGCAGGTGGCTCAAAACCGAGCTTTGTGGCAAAACCGAGCATTCCTTGGGGGAAAACCGAGCATTCCTTGGGGGAGGCCTAAATTCAGCAATGGACTTATGAAGGGCTGTAATGATGATTATGATGATATATCGCCAGAGTTCAAATGTAGTTGAGCACTCACTCCTGTCTAGTGTTCCAGTGCAGTAGGCAGCAACAGAAATGGGCTAATTTACGGAAAGTATAGCAAACAATAATGAACTTAGGCATATAGTAGAACAGGGCAAAAATACATAGTAATGGGTGAACTGGTCGAGGTCCTACTAGGATCAATTTGAATAAAATTAAACAAGTGTGCTCTCATTTTAGTGAGCAAGTAGCGTGATTTTTTTATGCATAGTAGCTGTATTTGCATAAATTACAGTTGCCCAATCTGCAATAGGCATAATGCATCCTAGATTACATGGGCGAAGCTCCTTTTTTACTGAAAATAGCTTGGCATAGATTTATTATATTATTTTAGTATAGATTAGATATCAAAAACGTAATACACTATTGTGTGAGGAATATACAAATATGTGCACTGCAAATTAGTACATTTTGTATGGTATCGTGACTTATAGTTTACGATACGTCACATCTTGTTACATATACTCGTACATCAAACAAGTGTTGACGACTATTGCGTTTTGCCATTAATGGCGTATGGATCTGGGACCTGGTCGTTCACTTCTGGCCGTAAGGGAACGTAGAACCAGAGTAACCGACATAGACCAACGTTTCAAGAAGCTTAAGTAGCAATGAGCCGGCCATATAGCTCGAAGAAGCTGCAACCGATGGGTAAGAAAGTTGCTCGAGTGGCAGCCTTGTACTGGCGCGGCAGAAATGCAGGAAATAGATGGACACAGATGGATCAGGAACATGGTGTATGTTATTTCTTGGCGGAGGACTATGATCAGCAGTGGACTTGTGATGGGCCGTAATGATGAGGACGATATATTTAGACACCTTACTTTAGTGGTCTAAGGTGTCTACATATGTCATCACAGT